GGAAGCCCCTGATAAGAATAAATGTATGCAAATTTCTTTTTCCAATACAATTTAAATATCATAAAGTTTAGATGTATTTTTTAAGGTGATGCCACTTGAGTAAATAGTAGAACTAGAACAAGCTAACATACATAATAACACAGGTGTGATGAATATAAGATTAAAATGTGTGTATCTATTGGATGTCCCAGTATTTATGCAGGCTGAACACAAATATTTATTGAATCATATAGGAATAAAAATTTAGAAGGTCACTTTCATTTTTTACCTTGAGAATGTTGATAAATATTTGTTTTTGATTTCACTCTAGAAATTAAGTTTCTTTCATCTTGCCTTATTTATTTTCCATTAATTTTTTTTATCTGAGTGCAAGTCACTAAATAAAAATCATTGAAGAGGCAAACTAATATTGTGCCTAAACAATGAACTATCGTGGCTTGCATTCTAATCCCTCTCTAGTCAAGGATAGTTCTTCTTTTCTATTTCTATTCAAGTAGTTTTTTAAACTTTTAACTTGTTAAGTGTTGAATATCTTGAAATTTTGCAAGTTAATTCCTTTATGAGGATAACTAATTAATAAAGCATCAGCTTATAGAATAACATTTATTGAAACATATCATTTTTCAAAATTAGAAGAACTCACTTTGAAGTATTAATACTTCTTGATGGATGTGATCATTTGTCATATTTTACTGAGTGCTGAGTAGAGTTTGACAATTATTTTGGTTACAAAATAACAAAAGATAGTAAACAAATTTAGATAGAACAAGCCTATGGGGAAGCAAAAACAAGATGACATACATGATTATGGTCTTCACTCATCAGATAAGCGATACAGTACAGACTCTAAGACGTGTTGCCATGAGGCGCCCTGTCCTGCTATCAGTGTTTAAGGGCAGGATGTTGTAACAGATCACCCTCTCTTACTTAGTACCTGCTTCATGAAAGATAAAAGAGTGAAAACTTCCAGCAAAGCAGTCTCCCATTGATTCACATCATCTCTTGTTGGACCATGGCAGCCAGTCTATAACCTGAATATTATTTTCTTCCTTGCAAAATAATTTTCACATAACGCTTTTATCATTTTTTCCCCATTTTGTCCTACTTTTAACAAAGTAACTTATGAGACATAAAAGTGCTCTTCTTCTTGAAAATCTGCTATAACAGAAGATCATATAGAATATTCATTTTTTTGAAACGATCCCATAATTGTTTGAAGTCTCTTTCCTGACCATTCAGTTTGGGACTCCAGCTGTATAAGAATACACTCGAGACATTAGTTTTGATGTTTTCCCTCAAACTCAGGAAAATCCTTTCACTCAATTCTCATTAAAAAGCCATAATGTTACAACAGAATACCTGTAATAAAAACAGGTATTCATAAAACCCTCATGTATTAATAATCATAAATGTTTTAGCACTACAAATAGCTATAGTCTACCCAACATGAGTCACATGATGTATAGTTCACCATGCTTCTGACAAAATTGACTGGTATCTTTCCTAATGGATCAGATGGTAAGGCATCTGCTTGCAATGCAGGAGACCCAGGTTCAATACCCAGATTGGAAAGATCCCCTGGAGAAAAGAATGGCAACCAACTCCAGTATTCTTGCCTGGAGAATCCCAAGGATAGAGAAGTCTGGTGGGCAAGACTCCATGGGGTCACAAAGAGTTGGACACGACTGAATGACTAACACAGTAACAGAAACTCCAAGCAGATTACCAAACCACAGCATGTTGACAAGAGTGATCCTACCTTCTTCTTCTTTTTTAATTAATTAATTTATTTATTTTACTTTACAATATTGTATTGATTTTGCCACACATTGACTTGACTCCTCCATGGGTGTACATGTGTTCCCATCCTGAACCCCCCTCCCACCTCCCTCCCCATCCCTTCCCTCTGGGTCATCCCAGTGCCCCAGCCCTGAGCGCCCTGTATCATGCATCGAACCTGGACAGGCAATTTGTTTCACATATGATAATTTACATGTTTCAATGCCATTTTCCCATATCATCCCACCCTCACCCTCTCCCACAGAGTCCAAAAGACTGTTCTATATATCTGTGTCTCTTTTGCTGTCTCACGTACAGGGTTATCATAAGCATCTTTCTAAATTCCATATATATGCATTAGTATACTGTATTGGTGTTTTTCTTTCTGTATAATATGCTCCAGTTTCATCCACCTCATTAGAACTGATTCAAATGTATTCTTTTTAATGACTGAGTAATATTTCATTGTGTATATGTACCACAGCTTTCTTATCCATTCATCTACTGATGGACATCTAGGTTGCTTCCATGTCCTGGCTATTATAAACAGTGCTGCCATGGACATTGGGGTACACGTGTCTTTTTCAATTCTGGTTTCCTTGGTGTGTATGCCCAGAAGTGGGATTGCTGGGTCATATGGTAGTTCTATTTCCAGTTTTTTAAGGAATCTCCACACTGTTCTCCATAGCGGCTGCACTAGTTTGCATTCCCACCAACAGTGTAAGAGGGTTCCCTTTTCTCCACACCCTCTCCAGCATTTATTGCTTGTAGACTTTTTGATGGCAGCCATTCTGAAAGAGACACACCATCTTCTTTTATATTATGCCTTTTCCAGCAGCTTATGCTCAACACCGTCCCCTTACCTGTAGGGTCTCCTCAGTCAACATGTAGGATGTTTTGAGGAAAGATCAAGATAGTGTGAAAGACCAAGGGAAGACAAACAATGAAGATGACTGATTTTAATACATTTTATCTCATCCTCTGAAAATTAGACAAGTGATATGGACAAAACAAATCAAATTGATTTAAAGCAATGACCATAACACATTTATGTTTAAGGGAGACTATTTCTTAAAAATAAGAATGTCAAAAAATGTAACACTGCTACAGAAATGCAAAAATATGTCTTGAAAAATGTGGCCAGACATTCTTTTTAGGTGTAGGATACATGCAAAACTTCTGCAATTTATAATTATGACACTATATTTATAGTTCATTGCTATTGAATTTTTGGCTCAGAGAAATAGTCTCCTTAAGTGAAATAATAATCACCCTGTCTCAGGTGTACCATCAGCCAAGTTGTCTTATTTATTAGTATTTCCCAACTTCATATTGGTTTCCTCAGTGGCTTCTGGAATTATTTAAGTATTACTACCCAGGGGAAAAAACGGAAATACACATCTGGAATTTAGTTAATTTTTTTTGAAACTTATTTAGTTTCCTAAGGATTTAACCAGTAACCAATTAAAGTTTAGTTACTGAACATCTTAATTTGGGGTAACGTCTTGAGGTGACTTCTGTTTTGTTAGCTTTTCATCAAATTCAATTTATTTTGGGGGTCCAGCTTAATAAAACATTTTGCAAATGACAGTACACATTGTGGAAACTGAATATCATCCACATATCATGTGTTCTTTAACAAGAACAAAACAAGCATGCTTACCCAGTCACAATTATATTCACTCAGTCAGAAACACTGCTTGCCATCTTTTTAAGGAGAGTCTCACCAGGGAGTCTGAAGAACCTTCACACAGGGAGATTGTGGAAAGCCAAGTTTCTTAGTAAGAATGCAAGTAGAAATGCCTTATCATTCTGGAACTACAAGTTTTGCCTATTTACCTCAAGAACCTTATGTTTTCCAAACAACTTTTAAGTGAAATTTAGAAAGATTTCTGAAAAGATACTAAGTAGATTTTCATATTCAATTTCTATTGATATCAGTTCCAAATTCTGTAGCACTTCACATGTTCAGTCCATGTAAATATATCTTCACAAATATTTGCTTTCCTAAAGTCTCCACACTAAAAGAATAGATACATAGATAAGAGATACAGTACTTATTTTTATTAAATAAATAAAGATTTTTTTTAAACAGACCCAAATAATTTTTTCACTCTTCTTCAGGTTCAAAGGGCAAGGCTTTGAAGCATATACCACAATCAGATAAATAGATAGAACAGTTCTATTTTTTTTCCTAGGGAAAAAAAAAAGAGAATAGTTAAGAGTTATGATGTGGCAATCTATAGAATTATCAGTAATTCTATATTTTCTGGTTGTCAAAGGAAGTATTTTGAAGAGCAATAAATTCTAAGATTTAGCATATACAACTTTCTTTTTCTCTGTACCCTCCATCATACATACCATTCATTGACCTGCAATGACTAGAAAGAAATTACTAGCATTCTTAAATCAAACGTCTATTAGAGGTAAGTTTTGAAGAATTTCTTCAATTTGTTCTTAGAATTAAACATGAATGATTGGCATAGAGTTTAGATGCTGATATGAAACAAAATTATATGTCAATATAATGATGAAACTGAAGGACAAGCAAATTATTTTCTAAAATGCTTTTATATGTTCCTATACAATCGAGTGAGATGTTGTTAGATGGTTTTCTTTGTTGTTGTTGTTTAGTCATTAAGTTGTGTCTGACTCTTTGCAACCCCATAGACTGTAGCCTGCCAGGCTCCTCTGTCCGTGGGGATTCTTCAGGAGAGAATACTGGAGAGGGTTGCCATCCCTTTTCCAGGGGATCTTTCCACTCAGGGATTGAACCCATGTCTCTTGCACTGCCAGGCGGGTTCTTTACTGCTGAGCCACCAGGAAAGCCCATATGCTTTTCTTAAGGCAATATATAAAATATTCTCTTTGTGTCTATGTGAGGCCACTCATTTTTAGAATCTGGACCACTGAAGATATTCTGGAGGAAAGGAAAGAGAGTTGAATTGCATCCTCCCAAAATTCATGTCTACCCAGAACCTTAGAGCAAAGCTGTAATTCATTGTCCTCATAAGAAGACGCTTATGGTGAGCATGCTCAGTCATGTTTGACCCTTTGCGACCTCATGGACTGTAGCCTGCTAGTCTCCTCTCTCCATTGAATTTTCCAGGCAAGAATACAGGAGTGAGTTGCCATTTCCCTCTCCAGGAATCAAACCCATGTCTCTTGTGTCTCTTACATTGCAGGCAGATTCTTTACTGCTGGTGACACCTGGGAAGCCCATGAGAAGACACTTAGACCCACACAAGGAAGAAGGTCAAGAGACAATAGAGACAGCAATTGGAGAGATGCAGCTCCCATCCGTGAAGCACCAAGGCAATTTTGCAACCCCAGAGGCAAGGGGAGAGATGTGGGACAACTGTTTCTTAATTAGAGTCTCCAGAAGGAACCATGACTTCTCTAGTGGCTCAGGGGTAAAGAACACACCAGCCAATGCAGGAGACCCAGGTTCAGTCCCTGGGTCTGCAAGATCCCCTGGAAGTGCAAATTGCAACCCACTCAAGTATTCTTGCCTAGAAAATCCCATGGACAGAGGAGGCTGGCAGGCTATAGTCCATGGGGTCGTATGTGTGGGACATGATTGAGCACACATGCAGAAGGAACCAACACTTCTTACACTTTGGTTTCAAATTTCTGGCCTCCTGAATTGTCAGAGAATAGATTTCAGTGGCTTTAAGCCACCATATTTGTTGTACTTCTTACATGAACCCTAGAGAGAATGTTAATGAAGTAGGAGAGCAAAAGAAATATTTTACTGCCATCCTTTTTTGACATAAGGGAAACACATTTATTACACTAAAACATTTGCTCATAAGTGTTTTAAATAATTATGTCAAATATTTTAATATTAAAGAAGAAAAGAGTATGTCTATATATGTTACACATACACCCCAAATACACATAAGTAATTTCTTATGAACACTTATTTCTGATTTGCATGACTGCATTAAACAAAAATAAGTCATGGTAAGTAGGATTTCTTATATTACCATATCAAAAAAAGAAAAGGTGTGTGAACATTGAGGATCTTGACTTCTGGCCCCAGAACTATTCTTTACTTAGATCTTAGCAGCTGGGATTATAACTCTTTTGTGTATGTTTCTAAATCTCTGAATCAAAACTCTGGACAAAGTGAGCTGCAGCCTACTATAAATCACTGGTTATACTTTTCCCTTTCTAAACAAATACTAAAAATTTTATTTCTCTGAGAACTCTGCATAATATTCTATCGTGTGATATTTAGAAAGTGAAAATTGCTTGGTTGTGTCTGACTTTTTGCAACCCCATTCTCCAGGCCAGAATACTGATGTGAGTAGACTTTCCATTCTCCAGGGATCCAATCCAGGTCTCCTCCATCATGGATTCTTTACCAGCCGAGCAACAAGAGAAACCCAAGAATACTGGAGTGGGTAGTCTATCCCTTCTCCAGGAGATCTTCCCGATCCAGGAATTGAACCAGGATCTCCCACATTGCAGGTGGATTCTTTATCAACTGAGCTATCTATAAGCAAATTTCACTTCTATTTTCTAGAAGGAATAAGATTGCTTTTTGAAACAATTTGACAAATACTTACTACTTCATATACATTAGGCTCACTGTTTTTCTTGCACAAATGCTTGTAATGTAATAGTGATCCACTGAAACACCAAGATGTCAATAATGTTTAATAACTATAAGATGTTTATGTAAATGATATTATAATAAAACTATATATTTTAAATGATATATGTGATTACATAGTATGTGTTTGTGTATGTGTGCTTACTTGCTCAGTCGTGTCCAACTCTTTGTGACTCCATTGACTCTAGCCTGCCAGACTCCTGGTCCATGGGCTTTCCCAGGCAAGAATACTGAAGTGGGATAACCATTTCCTCCTCCAGGGGATCTTCCTGACCCAGGGATCAAACTCTTATCTCCTGCATTGGCAGGCAGATTCTTCACTACTGAAGTCACCTGGGAAGTTCCAGGTACATAATATAATAAGTAATGCATTTGTCTGTGCCAAATCATTTCCTCAGCTCTATACTCCAGAAGCATTTTGCTCTTCATATTTCAGTTACAGAATCTCTGTAGGCTTCACTAATCTGCAGATATTTTACTAAAGGACTTCCTTAAGTGTATTGCTAAATACCTTCAGATGGTGACTGAAGCCATGAAATTAAAAGACACTTGCTCCTTGGAAGAAGAGTTATAACAAACCTAGACAGCATATTAAAAAGCAAAGACATTACTTTGCCAACAAGTGTCCACCTAGTCAAAGCTATGGTTTTGCCAATAGTCATGTATGAATGTGAGAGTTGGACTATAAAGAAATCTGAGTGCTGAAGAATTGATGCTTTTGAACTGTGGTGTCGGAGGAGACTCTTGAGAGTCCCTTGGACTGCAAGGAGATCCAACCAGTCTTTCCTAGAGGAAACCAGTCCTGAATATTCATTGGAAGGACTGATGCTGAAGTTGAAACTCCAATACTTTGGCCACCTGATGTGAAGAACTGACTCACCGGAAAAGACCCTGATGCTGGGAAAGATTGAAGGTGGGAGGTGAAGGGGACGACAAAGGATGAGATGGTCGGATGGCATCACCAACTCGATGGACATGAGTTTGAGTAAACTCCGGGAATTGATGATGGACAGGGAAATCTGGTGAGCTGAAGTCCATGGGATCACAAAGAGTTGGACACGACTGAGCAACTGAACTGAACTGAGATACCTTCTAACACATAGTTGACTTCCTGTTCAGGTCAACTCCAAAGAGGAAAGAGAAAACAAAACACTATCGTTACTGAATCTAAGCTCTGCAAGAAAATGCCATATGTGCAGCCTCAACTGTCTTTATAGAGCCTGGAAAGAGGTGATTACTGCATTCCTCAGTTCAGGTGAGGGGGGAAAAAAAATTGTTATTGTGTTCCTTTACTGACACAAGGGACAATGAGGACAGAGAAAGAAGGCTGATATTAACATGTGTGAATGTCAGCAACAAGTAAAGCTCTGTTGAGTCACAGGTTGTTATTAAAGCTGCCCATCATATTATCAGTGTGAAGTGATATCACTTCTCTAGAATTAATATATACCCTATATATTGTGTATATGTTGTGTACAATATATACTAGTGACATTATGAACAGAGATAAATCCAAATATTGAATTGTATTTTTTTTGCTCTAAAGAGAGGAGGAAATTATTAAATCAGTTAAATCATAAGCATTGCATTTAATGGACACTTTAAAATACTTTATGGTAAAGAAATCTATGTGTCTGATAGTTAACAAATAAATCTATTCCTGCAATTCTCTTTTTTCAAAATAATTTACTCTTGCATGATAGAAGTATCATATATAAGAAAATAATTTAAGTGGCTACCATTAGTAAAATGAGACTTCAGTACATACTGACAGTGTCTCACTATAAATCTTCCACTTATTTATTTGATTATGAGTATTCACATTTGAACTTGGAACTGTCAAATGAAAAAATGTAATAATACATGAGTAATATTCTGCCACTTATTATTCTTTAGGTGACCGTTAATATGTAAGACATTAAAATGCTTGTAAAACTTTTTGCTGTCTACTTTTTTACTATATTAAAAATGTAGTCTTTTTATGACTTGTCTACTTATATGAGCTTTCTGGATTTTACTATTTTAAATATCATAAATATGATCTAGGGAAATATATTTAATGCAAAATTCTTCAATTATAAAGCGTAATCCTCTTGCTTTATTTGATTTTATTTGGGATATACATATACAGTTTAAATTTATACATGCATGCACATAAATGAAATTGTTCTCTATTTTCAAGGGAAGATGATTTTCAAGCCCTTCAAGAAATAAATATGAATGTTGCTTTCCCCAACCCCCTGTCGCAAGATATGAGATCCTAGGAGAATTAAGGACAGCAAATTATGTATTAGTTTGTAGCGGTGGCATTTTAGAGCCGGCAAATTCAACTTGCAAATTGGCGCTCAGCTGCTGGTTTAAATCAGCTGAAAATGAAATGGAAACATCTTATTGAAATGTTCATTTTATATAGGTGGATATCTTTCCAAGAGGAATAATGTGAACCCAGTTTATGGGGAGGACTAAGATGATAAGTCAGGAGCAGTGTCTAGATCACAAGAACACATCCAAAAAGACAAAATATAGATTATGAGGCACTGAAGTATCTGAGAGACTATGCTCTGATAGACTGCCAAGCAATCTAAAAGGTATTTGCTTTTTATGTCCCCTCATCAGTCATGAGTTAAGTGACAGATGACTAAAGCTGAGATTCATTTATTTACCTGTTGGCAATGAAGCCTGACTTGCTTCAATTGATCCTCCCTGTGCTCACCTGGAGGCATTCAGTTCTTTGTTTCTCATGACAACATAATGGCATGTTCTGTTTCAACGATCTATTTGTCAGAATTACCATGGTGCTCAAATTTTAAAGACTCTTGCATGAACATAGAGGCACTCAGGCTTCAGAAAGCACAGCTTAGTTGACGGTCCTGGGCCAGTGGTCCAAAGGAAGGAAGCTGTTAATACAAGACATCTCTTAGAGGTTATCTTCATGGTAAAAACAAAAACAGCATTAAAAAAAACTGATTATGAAATCATATACTATGTACATTTGTTCATCCTATTTTTATGTATTGACTGAATCCCTCTGATGTGCAAGGCAAGGTTATGATGGGTAGACACTTGTCATGGTCAGAAGCAAGAATGAGTGAGGTGAATATAAGTCATAGCCAGATATCTCTGGTGGTTCAGATGGTAAAGTGTCTGCCTGCAATGTAGGAGACCCAGGGTGGATCCCTGGGTTGAGAAGATCCACTGAAAATCCCATGGACAGAGGAGCCTGGTGGGCTACAGTCCCTGGGGTTGCAAAGAGTTGGACACAACTGAGTGACTAATGCATTCACACTTTTCAAGGTATAGCCATTTGAACTTTGCCACCCCCTGACTTCCACCAGATTGTTGAGGCCACAAAGAATATGTTCATGCATGCCAGGCTGCTTTTAATGAAGGAATGAATTGACCTTTACCATTTGGAACTTTCCTGGTAGCTCAGATGGTAAAGAATCAGCCCGCAATGCAGGAGAACCAGGTTTGATCCCTGGGTCAGTAAGATCCCCTGGAGAAGGAAATTGCAACCCACTCCAGTATTCTTGCCTGGAGAATCCCATGGACAGAGGAGTGTGGAGAGTGATGGTCCATAGGATTGCAAAGATTCAGACACGACTGAAGTGACAGCGTACACGCACTTAGATTCTGACATTCAATTCACACAGTTTCCTCGTGTGTCTCCAGGGGGAAGGAGCCCCACTCTTCTACACTGGAAACCAGCTCTTTGATGCATTTTATTGACTTTTCCTCCTTCTGAGTGTCACTGTCCTTCTGCTTCCATTGTAGTTTTCTGAATCAGCTTCTCGATAAATTACCTGCTCCATTTCTCAGAGGCTGCTTCCCAGGACACACAGCTAAGACAAATATATTATAGTATTCCATCAACATTATATCTCAGTGTATTAATTCTGTCCCCATCAAGTGACATTTATGTTGTTTCCACTGTTTTATTGCTTTGAACAATGCTGCTCTGAG